AGATGAATAAAATTCACAAATGTTTAGCCAGACTGAAAATCAAAACAGAGAAAAGATACAAATATCTTAAATCAGGAAAAAAAGTGGAGACATTATAACTGACCCTACAGAAATAACAAGGATCATAAGAGAACATTACAAACAACTGTATTAGATAATTTTGATGAAATGGACAAATTCCTAGAAACACATCAACTACCTAAATGGACTCAGGAAGCAATGGATGATCCTAATAGACCCATAACAAGTGAAGAGATTGAATCAGTAATTGAAAACCCACCACCAACGACGATAAAAAATTTCCAGACCAGATGGCTTCACTGGGGAATTCCCAGACCAGATGGCTTCATTGGGGAATTCCCAGACCAGATGGCTTCACTGGGAGAATTCTATCAAACATTTATAGAAGTGACTCCAATCCTTCTTAAACTTTTCAAAAAAAATAGAAGAGGGAACACTTCCTAACTCATTCTATGAGTTACTCTGATACCATTACCTTGATGACAAAGGCAGACAAAGATACCACAAGACAACTACAGACCAATATCATTTATGAATATAGATGGGAAAATCCACAACAAAATACTAGCAAACTCAATCCAAAACCATCAAAAGGGTTATACACCATGATCAAGTATGGTTTATCCCATGAATGCAAGGGTGGTTCACCACTGGAAAATTAATCCACGTAACAGAACAAAGGAAAAGAACCACATTATCATCTCAATTGAGGCAGAAAAGGCGTTAGACAAAATTCAACATACTTTCATGATAAAAACATTCAACTAACTAGGAATAGAAGGGAAACTACTCAATATGACAAAGTGTATTTATGAAAAAGCCACAGCCAGCAGCATACTCAACAGAGAAAGACTGAGAGCTTTTCCTTTAAGATCAGGAACAAGACCCACTCACACCACTGCTATTCAGTATTGTACTGAAGTTCTAGCTAGAGCAACTAGGCAAGAAAAATAAATAAAAAGTATCTAAATTGGGAAGGAAGACATAAAACTATGCCTAACTGAAGAGGACATGATCCTATATACAGAAAATCCCAAAGAATCCACAAGGAAGCTACTAGAGCTAATAAATGAATTCAGTGAGGTAGCAAAGTACAAGGTCAACACACAAAAATCAGTTGGGTTTCTACATACTAGAAACAAGAAATCTGAAAATGAAATTAAGAAAATAACTCCATTTACAATAGCGTCTAAAAGAATAAAATGCCTAGGAATAAATTTAACCAGAGAGGTGAAAGACTTGTACACTGAAAACTATAAAACATTGCTGAAAGAAATTAAAGAGACTAAAGATATTCCGTGTTCATGGACTAGAAGACTTAATATTGTTAAGACGTCAATACCACACAAAGCAATCTGTGGATTCAATACAATCCCTATCAAAATTCCAACAACCTTCTCTGTAGAAATGGAAAAGCCCATCCTTAAATTTATATGGAATTTCAAGAGGGCCTGAATAGCCAAAGCAATCTTGAAAAAGAAGAACAAAGTAAGGACTTACACTTCCCAATTTCAAAGCATACTATAAAGCTATAATTATCAAAAAAACAGTCTGGTACTGTTATAATGATAGACATATAAACCAATACAATAGAATTAAAAGTCCAGAAATAAATCTATACATCTGTGGTTAATTAATTTTCAACAAAGGTGCTAAGTACATTCAGTGGGGAAAGAATAAACCAAAAAAAAAAAACCAAAGCTGTTTCAGTCGAGTTGACTCCAACTCATAGACTCTAAAGGACAGAGTAGAACTGCCCCAGAGGGTTTCCAAGGAGCAGCTGGTGGATTCAAACCGCAGACCTTTTAGTTTGCAGCCGAGGTCTTAACCATTTCACCACCAGGGTCCAGGGGAAAGAATGGTCTCCTCAAAAAATGGTGCTGGGAAAACTGGATGTCCATGTGCAAAAGAATAACTCATACCTCACACCATATACAAAAATTAACTCAAAATGGATCAACGTCCTAAAGGTAAGAACCAAAACCATAAAACTCTTAGAACAAAACATAAGGGTAATGCTTTAGGACCTCGTTTTTGACAGTGGATTTTTAGATATAAAACTATAAAGCACAAGCAACAAAAGACAACGTACATAAATTAAACTTCATCAAAATTAAAAACTTCTGTGCATCAAAGGTCTTTATCAACAAAGTGAAGTAACAATCTACAGAACGGTAGAAAATATTTAAGACCCACATATCTGACAAGGGCTTAGTATCCAGAATATATAAAGAAATCCAACAGCTCAGCAACAAAAAAACAAACAATTCAACAAAAAAAATGTACAAAGGACTTGAATCGACATTTCACTAAAGAGGCCAACAAGCACGTGAAAAAATGATCAATGTCATTAGTCACTAGGGAAATGCAAATCAAACCACAATTAGATACCATTTTTCACCTCCACTGGATGGCTATGGAGCCCTGGTGGCACAGTGGTTAAGCTCTCAGCTGCTAACTGAAAGGTCAGCAGTTTGAACCCACCAGCTGCTTCGAGGGAGGAAGATGTGGCAGTCTGCTTCCATAAAGATCACAGCCTTAGAAACCCTATGGGGCAGTTCTACTCTGTTCTACAGGGTCACTATGAGTTGGAATTGACTCAATGGCAATGGGCAATGGAGGATGGCTATTATCAGAAAAAGGGAAAATAACAAGTGTTGGTGAAGATGTGGAGAAACTGGACCCTTATCCATGGCTGGCGGGACTGTAAAATGGTACAGCCGGTGTGGAAAACAGTTTAACTTTTCCTCAAAAAGTTAAACACAGAATTACCCTATGACCCAGCAATACCACTCTAGGTATATACCCAAAAGGCTTGAAAGCAGAAACTCAAAACAGATATTTGTACAGCAATGTTCATTGCAGCATTATTCAATAGCCAAAAGGTGGAAATAACTGAACAGATAAATGGATAAACAAAGTGTAGTATAACCATATGATAGAATATTATTCAGCCATAGAGAGAACTGAAGTCCTGATACATAGTACAACATGGCTGAATCTGGAAATCAGATTATGCTGAGTGAAATAAATCAGACACAAAAGGACAAATATTATATGATCCCATTTATATGAAATATCTAGAATAGGCAAATGCATAGAGACCAAAGTTTATTAGTGGTTACCAGGGATGGTTGGGAGGGAGAAAAGGGGAGTTATTACTTAAGAGGCATTGAGTTTCTGTTAAACGTAAGGAAAAAATTTGGAAATGGATAGTGGTGATGGTGGCACAACACGGTAAACGTAATTAATGTCACTGAATTGTACACGGAAAAATGGTTAAAATGGCAAACGTTTTGTTATAGATATCTTACCACAATAGTTTTTCTTTAAATTTGCCCTAAGATGAGGAACAGATGGAATACTCTGAAATCTGAGAGTTGGGATCAGTTACTTCCAGTTTGGGCCCAGCAAGGAGCTGAAGGTCTGAGAGGTAAGATGTGGAGCTGAGTTTGGAAAAACAAGTAGAACTTAAACGTATAGACAAGAGGAGCTCCAGGCTTTTCCCCCCTTAATAAAATAAGGAACATAGCCCCAGAGGCTGTTAAGTGCGGGGTTGGAACAGGCAACTCTGAGTGGTTTTGCTTGGCTGGAGGGTACCACGCAGGAAGGAGAGCAGAGGGAGAAGAGAATAGAATGAAGGAGGGAAAAGACCCCAGGCTGGGGGTCTCGGCTTCCTAGTGCCGATCCATGGCTCTCAACTGGTGCACCGGGGCCCAGGGGTGTACCCCAAAGCTCCATTCACAGGAGGGCTGCTGCCCAAATTCTGATCAATGTCTTGTAATTCATTTCTGCCTCAACTAAACACACAACTATCATGGTGAGACCTGTCAGAAGGAACGCGAGCTGAGTGGATCAAGTGGCAGGCGACGGGGGGAGGGCCAATGTAGGGTGGTTGAGAGGCAGGAAGGGCAGCATAATGGCAAGGCAGTGCTAAAGAAAAACTGAGTGTTTGCTACAACAGGTGAGAACTTTGTATTCTAAGTATATAAAAGTACCATCAGGACAGTACACAGTTCTTCTCAGACAGGGACCCTGTGCCGACGGGCAACCAAGCAGGTGATACCACTAACCACGAATGCTTTTATAGACCCTTGATATGTCATTACTGCCAGCCTCTTTATGACTGTTTAAGCTGTTCACTCTGGATTGAAATCCCAGCTCTGCTGTTCACCCTGGATCACGTTTCTGAACCTCTCTGTCCCTCCGTCTTCTCATCTGCAAAATGGATATGCTAACAGCAGGAGGAACCTCATAGGGCTGTTGTGAGGGCTAAATGAAGTAATGGATGAGAAAACACTTAGCAAAGTGCCTGGCACAGAGCAAGTGCTTAGGAAATATTAAACGTTCTTGTTATTTCACTCTCTTCATGTGCGCCATTCAAAATCCTAGCATTCAAAACTACAGGGAAGACACACACCCAAGGTATCCTGTGAACTGGAGAAAAGAGGGAGCCCTGGGGGTGCCCCAGAACTGGCAGTTGGTTTAAACAGATAGCTAGCTGCTATGCGATAATAGGCTGTATTTATTGAGCACTGACTGCATGCCAGGCCTCTCCTGAAGCAAGTGACACACATGACATTTGGCATGAAGCGGTGTAGGGAGAGGCTGGAGGTGGGAAGATCAATCCGGAGTCAGATACAAGGTAAAGAGAGCTTTAACAGGTGCATGTAATAAACAGGGGGAGAAGAACCAAGAAATGTGGCAAGTGCCAAATGGCACAGGAGGAGGACAGGCAGGGAGGCCGAGGAGCGCAGAAAACCTCTCGAGAGCCTGAGCGGCCAGAGAGATAGCAGTGCATGTGTGTGTACCACTAGACATGGTGGCTGGAGTTGGGTAAGTGACCCAAAATACAGGTCCTACCCCAGAGAGATCAGTTTGAGCACTAAAACTTGATAGCACTAAGATCATGAGTTACCATCTGACAAAAACGAATTCTTGAGAATTTAAAAATAAAGAAACCCCACAAAACAACTGACCTCAAAACATTTTTCATTCTTTGCTTGGTGAAGAAGGCTAGCCATTCCAGGAAGCAGAACTGGAAAGATGAAAGTTTCCAAGTAGTCTTTGGGAGAACCTAAAATGAACAAACAAATCCCACTGAAAATCCCAAATGGCCAAACTTAATCTGGGAGAAGCATTTGATGGTGAACCAAAAAAGGTATCATCCATTTACAAACGACCAATATGACCTTAAATGTTACCTTTTACTCCAGACTGCTGAGTTGGGCTGTATTAAAGTGTTCCTGTATTCGTTTCTGAGGGCTGCCATAACAAAATACCATAAACTGGGTGGCTTAGCCAATAGAAATTTATTGTCTCACAGTTTTGGAGGCTAGAAGTCCAAATTAACGTGCCAGCTGGGTCATGCTCCTTCCAAAGTCTCTAGGGGAATATCCCTTCTTGTCTCTCCCAGATTCTGGCAGCATTCCGTGGCTTGTAGCTCTACCTTTACGTGACCACCTGCCTGTCTCTCTGGGGCTCCTCTCTTATAGCACAGCACTCCCATGGTTTAGGATCCATCCTACTCCAGTAGGACCTCATGTTAACTGAAGTGATAACATCTTCAAATACTCTAATTTCAAACAAGGTCACGTTCAGAGCTACCAGGGGTTAGGACTTCATCATATCTTTTTGGGGATCACAATTCAATCCATAACAGTCCCTCTAATCCTCTGCAGTCTGCCAAGGATGTAGGCCAGGTCCCACCCATGGCCAGGCCCACCAGCTCTGAGAAAGCAGCAGTACAGGGGCCGAAAGGAGAGTGCTGCAGTATTTGAACGTCTGCTTCCTGTCTCCCTGGGGCTGACCCCACCATTGCTCCTTCCAAGGAATATGCTCTTCTTGAGGTTTATCTGCCCACTCCCATCCTCCTCTGTGGTTTGGCAATGTTATAAGCCAAAAACTACAAAAGATGAAATCTCACTTCTTTACTTACATGTTTTTGAATCAATTGTTTTCGATTTCACCTGAGGACAAGGTGTATGTGAGACTGTGGTGAAATGGGGAACTGAAAAAAAGTGCTCTCTATGGAAGCCATGGAAAACCGTTTCTGCCACTGGTGAAACCTGGAGGGAACAGGGGGTCAATTGATATAAACAGTATAAATAATTGACATTTTTAAAAATAACTTACAAAAGAATAAAATTCTATGAGGCTTTACATTCAGCAGCACAATGAGTACAAACTTTTGTCTCTCTTCTCAAGACACCTATAAAATGGCAGCCAAGGAATAAACCCCTAATAGAGAAAAGAAAAGGAGAACGAACAGAGGATGAGAGATTTCCAAACATTTCTAAAACAAACAGGCATAGAACTTGTTGACAAGTAAGAAAGAAGGGGAAGTAGCAGCCCAGAGTATACAGGAAGAAACCGCCCCAGAGGACAGGAGGCGATCTTCCCCCCCAGAATGCCAAAGGGGCTCAATGCTCAGAGTTGACAGGCATCACAGAGGGTGGCAATGAGAACAGAATGATAAACGGGAGGTTAAGTGAAAATCTGGCTGGGCTTCACTGGCCTAGCACCTACGTTCTCCCTCCTCCCACTCCTGCCCCTCTCAACACACACGAAGCTAAACTCACAGCAGCGTTTTACGCCTACTCCACGCCCAATGAAGGACTCTTCTGTGAACCAATTAAACAGTCTGGGAAGGAGTAGAATTACTTAGGGTGGCCAAAAGGGGGTAAAAAACAAAAAGCCCTGATGTAGACTCAAAGTATGCTTTGATTCTGACCGTTTATTTGGAGACCCTTGCCCAATCAAAAAGGAGTCCTGGTGGTGCAGTGGTTAAGCACTCAGCTGCCAACCAAAAGGTCGCCAGTTTGAGCCCACCAGCTGCTCCACAGGAGAAAGATGTGGCAGTCTGCTTCCATAACAATTATAGCCTTGGAAACCCTGTAGGGCAGTTCTACTCTGTCCTATAGGGTTGCCACTGGAATCAACTCAATGGCAAGGGGTACGGGTGCCCAACCCAAAACTACTAACTCCCTATGTGCTCTCCCTGAAGAAAAGTCTTCCAGGGGACAACTACTACCCAGGAGCTTCTATTCATAGAAGAGACCTATCCAGAAAACAAACCCACATGTACAACTGCAGAAGAAAACTTCACCAACTATGTAGAAAAATCCACTTAGGCCCCCATTTTTAATTTTCAATAAACAATCCAAGCTCTCTAAACAGATAAAGAAAATCAAGCGCATAAAAGACAAAAATCAAGATATACAAACAGAACAACTGACCCTGGGAGAAGCATGAATAGTTTAGGGAAGAGAACTGTCATTAGTATCTTCAGAGAAACTGGAGAAAGTATTGCATCCATAAAGCAAGAAGAGGAACAATCCCAGAACAAGAAGTTCATAGACACAAGGATCTTTATCAGAGGCAGCTGCTGTAACAGACTAGAAATCTAAAGACAGGGGTTTTAGTTCCAGCCCTGTGACCCCACTCAAGACCCCTTATCTCTCAGGGCCTCACTTTTTTATTTTACACTCCATTAGGTCCCTGTTGTATTCCAAGGTGCACTTCCTGAGGGCCTCCCTTCCTGACTGCCCTGTCCTTGGCCTTCTGTCCTTGGCAGTCTTCATCTTCTCCACTCTGGCATGCACTGAGAAGCTTGCTCTGTCTGCAACTACCCCGACATCGACATAGTACGGAATCCACTGTGAAAGACTTTCTCATCCAGGATCTCATTTGAGCCCCACAGAGACCCTGCGAGTTAGTTGAGGATTATCTGTTCCACTAACAGATGCAGAAACTAAGACTCAGAGAGGTTATATGATGCACTTTAAGTCAGGCTGTTAGTAGCAGAGCTAGGTCTGGCACCAAGTTTCAGATTCTAGCTCCTGTGCCTTCCCCTTTGCCCTTCCCTAACTCATGACACTGTCTGATGGTCACCTGCTGTCAGTGTTCTTCTCGCTGAAGAGCCATTCACTTAGGTCAAAACCTGGATGATACTCACATTCATCACAGCTTCTCGTTTGACTTTGTATCTCTCTGGAAAGGGAGGCATCTCTGCTTCATACTCTAAAAGGAGAGGGAAAAATCTCAATTCCATGCTTAATTGCAGTTTGTGATGTAATCTCCTTCTCTCTGAATAAAAGTCTCAAATTTTATTTTGGCTGGTGGTTTACAGAAATGAAAAACAACTTGTCATTCCAAGTGAATATTTAATGTGAACCATCTTATTTAAAAATGGACAAGAGGTGACTGGCCTGTTGCATGAAAGCATGAAAGCTGTATGGGCGTGTCTGAGACTCTTCTCCCCAGAGGACACAACTGCAGATTTTGCCCAAATGTTACGATGACTACAAGGGAGTAAGAAAGTGGGGAGGGTGGTTAAGGGAAGATGCTAACAGCAAAAAGGGAGGAGAACATGAGGAGAGGGCAGAAGAGGGGACACAGGGAAGATGAACCATCCCATGTAGCCACAGGGATGGGCATGAAGGTAAGACTGCCAGATAGGGGGTACCTGGCTAGAAGAGGAATCCCATAAACGTTTCCTACTCATAAGCAGCATCGGCAACACTTGGGAGTTAGAAATGCAGCACCTCAGCCCCACCCCAGACCAGCTGAATCCAAGTCTGCATTTTAACAAGATCCCCGGGTAGCTTGTAGACACATGTAAGTTTGAGAAGCCCTATTGTAAATGCGAAGTTTCTCATCCTGGCTGCACATTATAATCACCTGGGGGAACTTTCTGAACATACCAATGTCTAGGCCTCACCCCAGAAATTCTGATTCAACAGGTCTGGGGCAGGAGCCCGGGACTCAGTAGGTCTAAAGCCCTCCAGCTGATTCTAATGTTCAGTGAGGTGGAGGACCATTGCCAGGTTTCTAGACAATCACAGCTGACTTGCTGGAGAGCCTACCCAAAGAACATGCCATACAAGTTCTACTTAACTCCCTGAGCTAAGAACTCTCGCTGGGAAAGAGTCAGAAAATGTTCATGGGCTGTATTAGTTACATCCCTAAAGGAAAGACCAATAAAACTATTTCTGGAAAGGTCAATGTTTTAAAGGCAATTACACAGTCACTTCGCAGTGATGAGAAAAAATAAAGTTTCTGGGTAAGACAATACTGATGGAATAAAATTTTAGTGTGCACAAGTTTTAGTGCATTATTCAGTTATTTATCAGGTAGTGTAACAGGTCTCGGAAACTCTGGTTTCATAATGATTAAGAGCTATGGCTGCTAACCAAAAAGTCGGCAGTTTGAAGCCACCAGGTGCTCCTTGGAAGCCCTATAGGGCAGTTCTACTCTGTCCTACAGGGTCACTATGAGTCAGGATCGACTCGACGGCCACATTTTTTTTGGTTTTATAACAGGTTTTAACTTTTTTTTTTTTTAAACTACTTAGTATCAGGCTGGAGCACAAAGTAAGTCAGGCTGCAGTTATAAGCAATTCTGATTCCCCAAAAGGTCGGCAGTTCAAATCCACCAGCCACTCCTTGGAAATCCTATGGGGCAGTTCCACCCTGTCCTATAGGGTCGTTATGAGTCGGAATCAACTCTATAGCAACGACTTTGGTTTTACGCCCACTGTATTAATCTCCTATTGTTGCATAACAGATTTACCACAAACTTAGTGGCTTAAAACAATACAAATTTATCATCTCTCAGTTACCGTGCATCTGGAGTCCAGGTCATGGTCTCATCAGGCTGAAATCAAGGTGTCAGCCAGAGCCATAGTTTCATCTGAGGCTTGGAGGTCTCTTTTCAAGCTCACTGGTTGATGGGAGAATTCAGTTTCTTGTGCTCGTAGGTCTAAAGTCCCATTTTCTTACTGTTAGCTGGGGATGGCTCTCAGCTCCTAGAGGCCACCCTCAGGTCCTTGCTACATGGCCTCCTCCACAGGAAGTTCACAACATGGTAGTTTGCTACTTAGAGGCCAGCAAGGAGAGTCTCTTCTGCTTAAAATCTCTGACTTCTTTTAAGAGCTCACCTTATTAGGTGAGGCCTACCTATGATAATCTCCCCAACTTCAAGTCAACTGATTAGGGACTTTAATTACATCTGGAAAATCCCTTCACAGCAAGATTAATGTTTATTTGAATAACTGGGGGATGTGTACACTAGGAAGCAGGAATCTTGGGAGCCATCTCAGAATTTTGCTTACCATACCAGCTGTAGCTCTACCACTTTTTTTTTCCTCTCATATAAGCAGGTAAATTTACCCCCTTCTCCCACTGCTTTGAGAATCACCAATATAGTATGAAAATTGCTTATTTGGATTTAAAATATAAACATTTTTAGCTTTGTCTGATAACAAAAGCAATACATGCTTATGGTGAGAAAATTTCAAATCATGTAGCGATATCTTAACTAGAAAGTGAAAGTCACACTTAATCCCATTCCAGTTCTAAACCATTGTTAGATTTGGCATAGATCCAACCAAATCTTTTTTCCATGCATTCACTAACATATGCATATAATACACCAACTTGCTTATTTATTTTAAATCTCCCGGACTAGGCCAAATCACCCAAGTATAAATCCTTATATATAACACTGCTTCCTTTTTCTTCACAGTGCAGATCAGTTTTACCCTGATTTGAAATTTATAAAAATGAGTGACTGTCTCTTCTAGTAGACTGTATGTTTTATAAGGACAGGACCTATGTCTGTTTGCATTCATCATCCTACCCCAAATACTCACTGAGTGAATGAATGAAAGTGCTATTATATCACATTACAGTTCAGCAAGTTACTCTTAACCCTTTATCTATTCATTCTTTCATAATTTTGGGGGCCACTATAAGCCAGGATGTGTTCTAGGTGTTGAATCTTGGGCCTCTTTCAACACTGGTACATATATGGATGTGCTACATTGATTTAACCAGTGTACTGCTGATGGGCATTTGAGTAGTTTCCAATTTGTTATTATGAAAAACAATGCTACATCCTTATATATTGAACATCCTTATACATATACCACTGATCTGAATAAGGGTGTTTTTGTAGGATTAATTCTTAGATGTGAGATTTTTCTGTCAAAGGAAAACATAATTTAAAATTTGGACACTGTCCAATTTTCCTCAAAAAAGATTACAACAATTGACACTGCTGATAATGAAACTGCCTATTGTTTCTCTAGGGAATTGTATTAGTTTCCTAGAGCTGCTATAACAAAATACCACAAATTGAATGGCTTGTAAGTACAGAAATTTAGTGCTTCACAATTCTGGAGGCAAGACCAAATCAGGGTATGGGCTGTGTTGATTCTTTCTGGGGGCTCTGAGAGAGGAATAGTTCCATGACTTTTTCCCAGCTTCTGTTAGCTCCAGACATTCCTTGGTTTGCAGCTGCAGCATCACATGGCGTCCTTCCTCTGTCTCCCTGTCTCTGGGTGTCCTTTCCTCTTTCATAAGGACAATCCACATATAATTAGGAACCACTCTGCTCCAGTATGACCTTGTGTTAACCTAACTGATAACATCTTCAAAGACGTTATTTCCAAACAAGGTCATGTTCACAGGTACTGGGGATAAAGATTTCAACCTATGTTTTTAGGGGATACAATTCAAATCATAATAGGTATTAACAATCTTATACATATTTAAAATGATTTTATTTTTGTTTGCATTTCCTTGATTATTATTTATTTTCTATTTATTTGCTTGTTTTTTTTACCCCCCAATGAAACCTTCTAGGGGTTCACTTAAACTTGATGGAAAAGATACAAACTTTTTCATCATATGGCCACAAAAGGTATACAGTTGGGATGATTATGTAGAAGTATGGGAAAATATGTCAGCTTCAGGACAATCTGGTATGTTTGTAATTTAAAGCCGCTGTAATGTTTAAGAGAGTCTAGCATATTTGAGAATTTGTTGGTTTCACCTTGTGATTTCAATTTGAAATATGTAATTGATTATCGACTCGTGCTTTTATGTTTAAAGGCATAAGAGAATTTGATTAAGTTTGTAAAGAGTACTGAACTCTTTAAAATGACGTGATTAACCACATCTGTAAGTTTGATTCATTAGATTTCTAAGAGTTGCTTAGGTGCTTAGAAAAATTTCTGTCCTGTTTGGCATTAGAAGTGATAAAGAAAATCAGACATATTAAATTTGTAAATGTAGATTAAAATGTTTACAACCTTTTAATTACCTAAATTTGTAAATTGGGTTGTTTACAGGAATTTAATCTGTTATATGCACGTTAAATGAACATTAATCTAAGAACAAGTGAAAGTCGCTGTTCTTTGTATACGACAAAGGCAACATTCTAAGAAAGGCCAAGCAGAGCCTGGATCCTTGTTGGCAGAGTGGAGCCCTTCGCCCAACTTGGGACTGCTCACCTTCATACCTCTGAGATAATTAAACATCTCGCGACTACCCTATAGGACAGGGTAGAACTGCCCTATAGGATTTCCAAGGCTGTAAATCTTTACAGAAGCAGGCTGCCACATCTTTCTCCCACAGAGAGGCTGGTGGGTTCAAACCGCCAACCTTTTGGTTTTCAGCAGAGCGCCTAACCACTGTACCACCAGGTCTCCTTCATTGCTTAGGCCATTATTAGTCAGGCTTCCTGTTACTTGCAGCTGAACATGCTCCTAGCTAAAGCAGCAATTAAAAGGCAACATTTACCAAGAGGGGCCTATTGGAAAGGTATGACCCAGTAAGGTGAAGAAGCTAGGAGTGAATTAGATGAACATTTAGTGGGTACAGCTACACAAGGGATTGTACAACGTGCAGCAGGGACAGCTGAACAGGGCAGAGGGCTTATGTTCTGGCAAGGGAGACGACTAGCAAACCAACGTTATTAGATGAGAAAGTGCTGCCGTAGGGGCTGTACCCAGAGCTCTGGGAGCAACAAGGAGAAGCGGCTTCTAAATTATCCTGAGGAATTACAGAAGGCTTTCCAGAAGAGGGGCCACTTGGGCTGAGTCTCGAAAGATAAAGAGGTGCGTAGAAAGAAGGCAGAGATGTTTCGGTGAGAGGCACAGCATGTGCAAAGGCGCGGAGGAGCGTAACAGTAGGTGCACTGGAGGCCAAGTTTCATGTCCCTGTAAGTACAGAGTACAGGGAAATGGTGCAGAGGCTGTTAAAATGCAGAGCTCAGGGACTTGCCCCCCAAGGAATATAACTCATCAGGTTGAGACACAGCCCAGGAATCTACATTTTAACAAACATCCAGGAGATTCCGATGTACTCTTGATGTGCTCCCAGTCCACACTTTAAAGCATCCTGGTATTGCGCTTAAGGGCTTGTACTCAAGTGTCAAATAGACCAGAGTTTTAGTCTGGTTCTGCCACTTGGGCAAACTTCCTAAGCCCTCTAACCCTCAATGTCCTCATCTGTACAGCAAGCAAAATCCTCATTGTGTTGCTATGAGGTTTAAATGGAAAGTAAAGCACCTAGCACAGGGAACGGCACATACAGAGCAGCTCAATAAATGTTTGCCGTTAGGATGATTTAGGTGAATGGTATGAGATGAAGTTAGAAAAACAGACAGGGATTGGAGCGTGAAGGGGCTTATATGCTAAAGAGTTTTATTTATCATGAAAAATATAAAAAACACTGCAAGTCATGGCATGGTGTGGTCAGATTTAAATTTTAGACAAGTTCCTGTGGCAGATGTGGAAGATGGTCTGGAAGGACATCTGCCCCAATTAAGAGGCCACAAGTCATCAGCAAAGAGTGGTAAGGGCTTGATCTAAGGCAACAGACATGAAGATTAGGATGTGGGCGTGGTTACGAGAGACGACAAGCAGGTAGAATCTACAGGGACTGGCAAACAAATGTAGGGATCATGGAAAGTGAAAGGAAAGCATGTAGGATGACTTCCAGGTTTCTGGACTGCGCAACTGACTGAAAGACAGTAACATTCACTCTAGGTGGAGCCCAGAACAGTGCCTGGAACCATGCCTGGCCCAGCATTTAAAACAATTCCCGGCACTGAACATAACAGAATGATTTCATTGGAGCGATAAGGTAGTCTTCACGGCATTGATACGCGAATGGAATGAAAGTGGTGTGAACAAGGGTAGTGTGTTCTCTCCAGAAGCTTGGCTGAGAGGGGAACAGGGATGGACAGGGGCTACAAGAGGTTTTCCCTAAGATGACAGACCACAGAGTGTCTGCAGGGCAAAGCCAGCGGAGAAGTTAAAGATGTCAGAGAGGAAACAAGTGACAGAGCAGGATCCTGGGTGGTACCAAAGCACAGATGGAGGGCTGAGCTGTGGGTAACGGCGTGAACACTTCTTCCAACTGAGACGAGACAAAAAGTATGTGTGCAGATGAAAATATGCTCCCAGGCATAAGGAAGTTGGAGGATTTCCTTCCCACCCTCCAATCACCTGACTCTTCTAAGTGAATGCCTCCGATGTCCACTAGGTGTTATCACGGAAGGTTTGAGGAGGGAGGTAAAAACTTGGATGGTAGACACGGGCAATGAGAGCGGGCACTGACGGATATCGATTCGTGAGCAGTGCTGAGAGCCAGCTGGTGTCATTTTTCTCCAGCTATGCTCAGTTGCTGTGCTAGAAGAGCAAGCATTGACTCAGAACTGATCCATGTTGGTTATCTGGCAGGTGGGATGAAGGGACAAGATTTTACAATTCTCAACAGCATTGAGGGTTGATGCAATAGAACATTTGAAGTGATTAAGTGATAATCCAATGGGAATGAAGATGTTGATGAGAGTAATAACAGCAATGTTGAAACAGAACACTGTAAGCTTCAAAATTTTGACTCAGTCTTGGTTAAAACTGTGATCAAAATCATAGGTCACAAGCCACTGTAAAATTTACTTGGCAGGAAAAGTTTATTGATACAAATACAAGTGGTTTTGAGAATACAAAGCCCTGGGCTAGTTGTCATTGGAAAGATAAGGGAAAAAACTGAAGAACATTTATAAATAAGCTATCACAAAGGCACCAAAAAAAGAAAGAAAAGGAAACAAAAACCCTCAAAAAACCAATGAACACTAACCAGGTAGGACAAAGCTGTTGCTTAAGCTAGACATTTACCTATTCTGTATCTTTTCTTCAAGAAATTGAGTTGCTGGCAGGTCTGTTTACTGTATTATTTTCTTTTTAAATGGAGCTATTCTAGTGGAATGTAATTATTAACCTCAAAGCTAGGACTCCTGCAGAGTCTGCTTTTTCATGTTTATGGTGAGAAAATGTATTTACTATGTGTTTGTATAGAAAATTGCATTTGTTGGAATGTTTGCTTTATGAATCGGGTGTACTCACTCAGGCTGGAATAATCACCACAGTGCCGGTGTGTCCCATTCACCATCTTTGCCCTCATTAACTTCATTTTGTAACTCCATCCCTTTAGAAGTGGCATCAAGCCACTGATTTTCAGAGATCATCAAAACTCTTTCTGCCTACAGGCTTGTTTGACAAAAAAAAAA